CTGCGCTCAATATTACAGCTGAAGGCTTCTCCGAGACCACCAACGAAGACATCTTGGAGGTGTTCAGAGATCCTGAATTGACTGCTTACGAGATGTTGGAAGAAGATCACGTCAGTGAAGAGGAAGAAGAAGGTGCGTCATTCTCCGAAGAACACAGTTTAAGTCATAGTGGTATTAAGGGTGCCATGGAGTGTGCAGAGAAAATGAAGTCCTTCCTTTCCCGCGACAATAACGATGACCGCTATGAAGTCTTCCATACCCGGCTGGTGCAGACTATGGAGCCTTACATCAAGGTGTATCAAGACAACATAAACACCAGCCGTCAAAAAAGCATAACCGAGTTCTTCGCCCGCAACCCACCACAGCCAGCCCAAGCCAGTGATAGTGACAGAGGTAGAGACAGTGAAGATGACTTTGAGGGATTTGTCAGGGAGGCCCTGACAAGTGTTGGTGACAGTGATGGTGACTCACCTGAGGGCCAGTAGCCTGCCCTCTGCCTCGGAACCAGCCTCCATCCCCGTACGCCGACCCATCTCTTCTACTAACGTAAGTGTTCGACATAACTTTTAGTTTTCCTAACTTAACCTTTATTTTTCCTAACCTAACCTCTTCTATATTACTTGTTTTTTCATACCATCATAAAGTTAAGATTAAATTTTTACTACAACATAGTTGTGTGTTGTCAAAAAGTGGAGTTTGGGGGTCGGGCCAGTTTCTATTGTAATTAATCCCATATGTTCTGTTGTTCACTTAGCGCGGTTTTCACTTAACACAGTACCCTGTGGGTTTTATTGACCGCGTTAAGCGGGGTACTACTGTGTGTGTGTGTGTGTGTGTATATATATATATATATATATATATATATATATATATATATATATATATATATATATATATATATATATATATATATATATATATATATATATATATATATATATATATATATATATATACACCTAGACCCCGACTTACGACGGGGTTAGGGACCCAAATCCAGGTCGTAAGTCCGACATAGATAAAAAATTAATAAAAAATCTACAATGAAATACAGTACAGTAAAAGTAATGAATAATGATGAATGGATACAGTACAGTGAAAGTAATAAATAATAAGGAATGGATACAGTGTGACTGAGCACTTAACCTTTAATGTAGTCAGCTGAATGCACATGGGGCCCCCATAATTTTCTAATTATACATGGAGACTACATTAACTGGAAACGTTTCGGTATAGAAAATGCGTGTGTCATTTAAAAAAAAAAATTTTTTTTTTTTTTTTTTTTTTTTTATCTATATCTGAGGCGGTCGTAAGTCCACGTAGTCGTAAGTCGGGGTCTAGGTGTATATATATATTCCCCGACTTACGACGGGGTTAGGGACCCAAATCCAGGTCGTAAGTCGAAAATGCTTAAATAATACAGTATACATAGAAAATTTAAAATGGGTGTCTCTTTTTCTTCTCAGTACCTCAAAACTCTCACTTTTAAGCTTGCTTGCCAGCCATTTTAAAGTGAATTACAAACGAAATTTTTGTCAGTACACAGCGCTATCACTGACGTTGGGACTCGAAAATACGTAATTTGACAAAATTTTGGTACGACTGAGGCGGTCGTATGTCCGAGTGGTCGTAAGTCGAGTAGGTCATAAGTCGGGGAGGAGCTGTACACACACACACACACACACACACACACACACACACACACACACACACACACACACACAGTAAGTCCTGGCTTAATGTCAGGGTTACATTCCTAAAAACACGACGTTATACGACACGAGATTAAGCGGATAAATTTTCCCCCTAAGATACAGTACAGTATAGATAAAATACGGGAGTTGAGTTCCTGAGTCTCCCTGTGCCCCATGAAAAACATTACATATACAGAAAATCATTGCCATTTCTATAGATAATAGTACAGGTATATAGATATACAGTCAACCCTCGCTTTACATGGTCCCACTTTACGCGTTTACGCGGTACCCTGCCGAACACGGAATGCTCACTTTCCGCGGTGTGTGTACCCTTTTACACGGAGAGCGGCGCGAGCAGGGTGCGCACAAGGTTGCCCAGTCATCAAAACATTACCGAGTTCTTCACCCGCCACCCACCACAGCCGGCCCAAGTCAGTGATAATGATAGTGAGGATATGGACTTATATGGACTTTGAGGGGTTTGACAAAGAGGCCCTGCAAGCCTCTGTGGTGGATAGTGATACAGGTGAGGGCCAATAATCTGCCCTCTGCCTCGGAACCAACCCCCCCATCCCCGTGTGCCCAGCCATCTTTTCTACTAATGTAAGTATTAAAAAACCTAATATTATTGATATTTCTCTTAATTATTAATTGTGTGTGCATACCATCATAAAATTAAGAAGTTATTTTTACTATAACGTAGGTATTGTGTCTGAAAAAGTGGAGTTTGGGGGTCGGCCCGGTCTCTATTTAAATTAATCCCATATGTTCTGTTGTTCACTTTACGCGTTTCTCACTTTACACGGGCCGCCGTGGGTTCAATTGACCACGTAAAGTGAGGGTTCACTGTATAACTATTAAGTTTGTATTGGTACTCACCGATGGGCGGAGTTGGTAGAGTGAGTGTGTGGTGGGTAGTGTAGCGGAGGAGGAAGGCGGGAGTGGAGGAGGAGCGGGCTGGAGAGGAGGAGGGTGGTGTGTCACTGAGACTGCGGCTGCTTCCTCCTCCTCCTGCCGTCCTGTGACGAACAAATGAATCCAGTGTTGACTGTTTGGTGCTACTCTTCTACTTCTCCTTTTAGATATCAGTGTAACAACCAAGACTCATCAATGCTGCGATGAACCTTTGAGCTACGTTCTCTGTTTGGGTCGTCATCTATAAGGATTTGCATTGCTTGCTGGAACATGTTGAATGATTCTGCCATCTTGGAAGTTAGCGTTCATTGAGGTTCTTCTTCATCATCGTTGTCTTCAATGGGACTGTGTTCTGTTAATTATTGGTGAGCTCTTCTGTATGGGATGCCAGGACATCCTCAATATCCTCTGATTCCAGCTCATCAAAGCCTGCCTGTCTAGCCAAGCTGAGGATATCCCTAGTCACAGCTGGGACTAAGTCCGTGAATCCTGTAAAACTGTTGACGCACCCAGGCCACAATTTACCCCACACACCATTCAGGCAAATTTCTGAAATCTCTTGCCAATGTTGTCAATTGCATGAAGAACGTTGACGCTGCGCCAATATTCTCGGATCGTGGGTTTTTCTCCGTCTGTAGCTTTGAGCAGCTTGGCATGGTACAGCGTAAATAATACACCTTGAATGCGGCAATGACTCTTTGGTCCATAGGCTGCATCAGTGCTGTCGTGTTGGGAGGCAGAAATACAACTTTTACACTGTCAGGCAAATCGTGGAGATTGGGAGGATGAGTTGGAGCATTGTCAATGATCAGAAGAATTTTGAAGTCTAGGTTCTCCTTGGCTAGTATTCCTTCATTGCACGTTTAACCACTGGCTAAATATGGCGCCGGTTATCCATTCCTTCTTATTTGCCTTGTAGATCACTGCAAGGAGATACTTAGAGTAACCTTTCAGGGCCTGTGGGTTGGCAGAGCGAGAAATCAACATCAGCTTCAGCTTGAAAACGCCGGCAGCGTTGGCGCCAAGCAGCAGCGTCATGCGGTTTTTTGCTGCTTTAGAAGCTGATGCTCTTATCTCCTCCTTGGAGATATAGGTCCTCTTGGGCATCCTCTTCCAAAAGAGACCAGTCTCATCCACATTGAAGACTTGCTTCGATGAGTATCCTCCTTCCTGGATAATCCGTTGGAATTCTGGTGGGAATGTCTTGGCAGCAACCGTATCTGAACTGGCAGCCTCACCAGTCATCTTAATATTGTGGAAGTTATACCTGTGCTTAAAACGTTGAAACCATCCTCGGCTGGCCGTAAAGGTATCTTCCTTTGATCCTTCACCCTCTTCTTCCTTTATGTCGTCAAACAAAGATCTGGCCTCATGCTGGATAATCATAAGGCTTACAGGTGCATTGCAATTCTGGTCCCCCATCCACATAGCCAGCATCTTTTCTATCACAGTACTTCTAGTACGAGTTCTTTTAGTTGCACTGAGAGTAGTACCACTTCCAGCACTAACCTTAATCTTGTCAGCATTGGTCTGGATAGTACGCACCATTGTGGGGGTTAGACCAAGCACTGTGTCTATGTCCACAGTGCGTTCCCCTTTTTCAAATCGGGTTAATACATCCATTTTCGTAGCAAGGGTAATGGTTTTTTGTTGCCTCTTCACTACACAAACATCAGTAGCACTTGATGGGCGCTTGGAAGCCATTTCGAATGGTTATAGTACAGTTTTAGAGCAAAAGCACTTAGCACACACGAATGATGTGAAGTCGCAACAGAGACTGGCTTGGGGATGCTGTGACGTTCCTCGAGTGAAGGCAGCTTGCCGAGCTGAGAGAGCCTAGCGTGGCCAGACAAGAGCGGATGATGCACCGTAGAAAGTAGTCCGTGATAATGCAGAACGACGTACTGTTAGTATCGGATCCCCAGGAAGTTAAACGAATTTTTGGTCTCTAAAGTTTAGCGACGTAGTACCGAAACAATGTTAAGCAGGATGATGATATACTAGGATGCAACAAAAAAAAAAGAGTAAAAAGAAATTAAAAATTGAAAAAATCACATTAATCTACACCACGAAGATGCCGGAACACCAGTATAATTTTTCAGGGGCAGATCCAGAAATATCAGCGAGTCCATCCAGCTGTGGGGTTTCGGGAGAGGGTGGGGGGTGCTGTAAGGTGCATTTTGAAGCCATGTGCACTTGATATTAGGAGATATTCTGAACTCACTAGTAATTACATTTTACTATACAAAAAATGCCTGAGTACAACACTGCCTTAATGAAAAATATTGGAATTTTCTGATGAAAAGGGGGGGTCTGGACCCCCAGGACCCCTCCCGTGGATCTCCCCCCTGTTTTTCCTCTTAAACATGTACTAATTTCTCTTTTCAGAACTTGGGTAAGGGGTCTCTATGGATGGTTGATCCAGCTTACCGTCCAAACCTCCTCCAGGCACTGAGCAAAACCCCTTTCCATCCTTATTCCAATCTGGATCGTATCTACATGGTTTCTACAAAGGCTGCTTATAACAACAGGCCAGTGCTGTATAGGTGGGTCAGGGAATGATCCAACCAACTTTTTTGCTTTTCAATTTACAAGTTGATAGGAAATGCATGCTGGCTTTTCCACCCATGAAACTAAGTTACTTACACTAATTAGAGGATACATTAATCTTTAACCTGGAGATAATCTTTATAACTTCTTTGAAAATAACTTCCCCCAAAATGGTTATTGAAGATGAAACAAAGTGCACTTGTGAAGCTCGAAATTTATTTATGAAAAGATAAGGAATAAAAAACCATTAACTTGCAATAATTGTTTTATATATTGGAAAGAGCCTTATCTTGTAAACAACAAAAGTTATTTAGAATTTGAGTTCAGTATTATGTTTCTTACATCAGTATCTAAGAGAAACAGAAATACTTTGGTGATCTCTTTTTCATTATCGTTATTACAGGTTACCCTCAAATTTACTGAGGATTGTGTTCCTATATAAGGCCAGTATAAATGGTATCAAAATTAATGAAGAGGTGTTTCCTTTGTGAGAGGGGAATTATGTTCCAGTCACAGCCAAAGTCTTGCCCTTTTGATGATGATTTTGTGTTGTCTAAGTTTTCATGGTTACACTAAGAACAATTTCATAATTAAACATTATGAACTGTATTACTAAATCCAACTAAACCCAGGAATTCTGGGAATGGTACACAAGTAATGGCTTGTGATTGAGTGGCATCCTTGTGACACATGAAGAGGGATAAAATTTCCCATAAAGCATTATGTGAAGGGAAGGTCATTTTAAATTAAATTTGGATTGTAAAAAGCAAACCATATACTGTACGGTACATTTGAATCCAGTTCTTGCGAAGTTGTTGTATATGAAAGCAACTAGTGCTATTATTATTATAATTATTGTTTTTAACAATTCCCTTTCAGCTTAAATTTTATTTCCCTATCAATTTATGCTAGTGCATGCAGGGCTGTGGAGTCGAAGACAAAACCTTCGACTCCGACTTCTCAAATTTTTATGCTTCCGACTCCGACTCCGACTCCTTGGCCTATTTGTAACAACTATTTCTACCATCCTAATTGTAATTTGTATGTTGTAACCTGCATAGGTAAAAAGTAAAACACCGTGGCTATACTGCTACAGCTTTATTAATGATCTGGACGATATTTAAGAACTACAAAAAGATGATAGGCTTGACTTTCAAAGTTTCAATCAAAAGAAAAATAAATTTATTAAGAATTCAAGATATTAACTAGAAAACACCATTTACATGTATATCTAAAAGTTCGATCTCAGCATATGAATTTTGTTTAAGCTCATAATCTGATGTGGATCTAAATGATGATCCTACAATTCCTTTTAAAGTAAAGTTATATATTTATGTACATTAAAGAAATGAATACCTTATTAAGGAAAATGGATAAACCTTACATGATTAAGTTATTAAATTAAATTTGCCTTAATCTCACCAAAAACAGGTTGTAGCTAATTGTTTTGTAGCTGAGAGCCTCTGTGCAGTTTTCAACGAAACAAAATTTGATATAATTCAAAATTTCAAATGGTAAAGAAGAGACTATCGTCCAAAATTATAGTGCTATACTGTGCCTGCTACAATAAATTCATAATAATGCTTATAAAATGGAAATAAATTCTTTTAATAATTTAAGAAAATTAGTGGGATCAGTGGAATCACTGCAATGAATATGCCTGAGTTCATATATTTGTTCTTAGGAACAGAATAGCTTCAGTCGGAGTCGGAGTCGGAGTCTGGACAATTTTACCGACTCCGACTCCGACTCCACAAGCCGAAATTTCCTCCGACTCCGACTCCACAGCCCTGAGTGCATGTTCTTAAAATTTGCTTGATCTTTAGACTTCCTGATATACAGTATCTACTTTTAACAGCTGTGTTGTGGTAGAATTTTCCCACTACAGTAGTTTAGTTGGCACAAATGTTTCACATACATAAGATTAAGCTATTAGTTTTTACCTTTTTTATTTCTTTTTCATTCTTTTCCCCATCTTTCGATTTTCCTTTCATTCTGTTCCTTCTTTTTTCTTTCTTTACTTGGTTTTCTTTTTTCTTCAAAATTTTTAGGGGAAGAATCCTCTCACCTCTGCAGTAGAAGGAACCTTCCCTTATGGACTTCAGGCATGTTAGTGTACATTTGTCCCCACTAATCTCCCTGCCGTTACCACCATAATTTTAAATATATTGGTCATTTGATGATTTTGAATATAGGCTAATATTCCCTCACATAATGCTTGAAAGTTATCCTGTATCATCGTGTTTGACTTTACAAATTCTTTCTTCATTTCATATGTACTGGAAGGCTTTCCATTGTTATGCATGACTTATTTATTTTTATGATCCTGCAGGCAGCTTGGTGAAACAGTTGGTAATCAAGGAAGTGTAGTGAGAACTGCAGTGAATGTAGAGACTCCTGTCATCAGCCCTTCTAAACCAGCTGGAGCAAATGTTCCTGATCCTGAACTGTTCCCATACCTGGCACGCCGCTTGGGATCATCAACAGTAGGAGGACTTGGTACTCTTGGCACCACAGGTGTAGGAACACCAGCACCAGGAGTTCACAGTGAAGATGTGGATGCAGCAGCTGCAATGCTAGCTCTCAAACATGGATCACACATTGTTACACCTGCCAGTGGTAACTATCATATTTTCAATGATTTTTATAGTGGAGTTGTACTTTTTGAAGATTGATTTTGTGGTATGAAATGCTTAGTGATAGATATAGAATCCCAAGTACTGTACTTAAAGAAAAATATAAGCTTTGCTATTCTAAATTTCTCCTCTGGATTCATACCGTCCATGCTGCCATTTCCTTCTCTGAAGAAATTTGTTGAAAATACAAGCTGTAATAGTCTTATATTTTTTATTTAGTTGTTTTTATTTTCACAGAATCTTACTCCCAACTAAGGAATGGGAAAGATACATCTGTTTTATATGAAGAATGCCGAAAAAGAAAAAGGAAAAGAAAACACACAGCAGTAAGTGACATGTAGTTTATCCATGGTCATAGGTGTTGTGCTTAACTGTAATACTTGTACTGTACTTGCAAACTTGACACTATAGTAATTTGTAAAAACTACAAAATACTGTAAGTCCAATAATTACAGTATTGAAATTTTTGGCTGTGGTGGTAAGCAAACATGAAATGTATTATTTAAGAGGGTAAAGGGAAATTTTTATTACAATACCTATATATATTACACTTATCGCTCCGTATTTGCGAACTCCTTGTTAGCGAATTCATTTAATAACAAAAAATAATAGTCACCACAATTAATATTCAGCACCCCCTGGTAAAATCAGGTTTTGTGACCCACTAACACCTAACAACCTCCCCCATTCATGTAACACCACTGTATGCAAAACATCTCCACTTTTACGGTAAATCCATTATCATACTTTATTTAATTTACAATGCAATTCCTCTCATCCATATTCCAACTATCTGAATCTTACAGGTATCTGAACTTTGTCCCCTTTGGTCCTGTTCAGTAAAATTTTTTTATCTAGTCCAACAATCCGAACGCAACTGAAGTCATTCATTTGTGTGTCTGCCACCAATAGCACTATAACCGCTTTGTTAAATAAAATTGATACATAGCATATCATAATACATATACTATAGCACATAAACTCAAACCATTATCTGAGTGATGCCACACAGTTCAGCCAGGCAGTCAATCAGCTGACTCTTGAGAGTGTGCGTGCGTGTGAGCCATCACACTGGGGAAAGGGACACGAGCGAGTCGGCGGTCCTCGGCGACGCAGCACTGGTCACTGCATCCACACATACACAGTTATGCTCTTCATTTTTCTTATTTTATTTTTTATATATTTTCTTTATTCCTAAGTCATATTAGAGTACAGGTAGTTCTTCTATAACGCGATAATTGTGTTCTTGTAAAATATCGTGTTATAGAAAATCGCGTAATAGAAATAACAGGGCTTATGGAGAAAATAGGGTTAGGTGCAGATTACTCGAAATCGAAAAAATTTAGTAGTTAGCCTAACACAAAGGATAGCACAGTCTAAATAAATGTTACATTCATATCTAATAATAAAATCATACAGTAAATGTAACACTTTACCTTGAAAAAATATGAATGTAACTTGATGGGGGAGAAGGGTGATTTTGAGGTTGATAACATCGAGCTTCTCTTCAAGTGTTATATCCTTTCTTTTACGATCATCACCGGGAATTCTATCACCAGAACGCTTATTGGAGATATTCTTCTTTACCATATTCACAATTAATACCACAAAATTGGAGAAATAGTAAGCAAAAATCGCGTTATAGCTAACAAGCGTTCGCGTTATACAAATATCGTTCCTAATTCATAAATCGCGTTAGAGCAAATTCGCGTTATCAAAACACGCGTTATAGCAGAACTCACTGTACGTATTGTAATTTTTACTCCTTTACTCTGTATTAGAGGAAACAGTGATATATACAGTATATATACAGCCACTCCTCGACTTATGACCACCCGGACATACAACCGCCCCAGTTGTACCAAAAAAATTTCAAATTATGTATTTTCGAGTCCCAATGTTAGTGATTGCGCTGTTTACTGAGAAAATTTTCTTTTGTAATTCCCTTTAAAATGGCTGGCAAGCCATGTTGCTGAGAAGAAAAAGAGACACCCATTCGTTCCAGAAGGTTGTTTGTTAACCGGAAATTTCGTTAACCGAAACCATTGTTTCAATGGGATTTTGGGTAATTGGTTCCATCTCACTAAAAATTACATACAAACTAAAAATAAATGCAGTAAAGTACACTTACTTCGAGGTGTGCATGTAGAAGGCTCCTGGTTGATGATGATGGTGGTGATGATGGGAATTAGAAGTGGGGGTGGAGGAGAAGGGAGAAGAGGAGGCAGTGGGGTGGAACAGAAGTCACCCCATGCTTCATGCCTCCATTGCACCCATAAAATTTTAAGTTCACTTGGTGTAATTCAAGATTATTTTCTTTAAATCAACACTGCACTATATATTGTCAATATGTAAAATAAATTTCAGAATGACCAATAATAATTGTACAGTAGAAGTCCAAAAATCCGGACTGCTTGGGGATTGGGTCGGTCCGGATTTTCGGATTTTCCGGATTCTCAGGCAGTACTTTTAAAATTCAAATTTAAGGAGGAATAAAGAAGAGATGAACAGGTACATTTTGATAGTTTATTCATTAGCAAATATAGCATGCTTCATTTATCAAAATGAGCAGTTTTAGAGAAAAAGCTGTGAATTCTAGAATTTTATTCTTTGCCCTTTTTATATCATAAATTGTAGACTTTCCAATGTCATATGTTTCCATTAGAAAAGTATTGCTCACACCACATTCTAGTTTCTTAATTATTTCAAGTTTGTCACTCAATTTCAACGTGTTCTTCTTTCTCTTCACACAACGAAGTTTATCTACTTTAGGAGTCATTATTATGGGCTTGTACAGTACTCTGTAAATGGAAAGAGTAGGATTCAAAATTACATACGTTGTCACAGTTTGATTGCTCGTTTTAAAGTGGCGACTGCGTGGTCGCTTGTTGACGCTGTGCAGCTGTGGCGCTCATGCATGTGCACATACACACAAAAGCCAGCTAAAAAAAAAAAACTTAGCTTTCGAAAAGTCCGGATTCCCAGGTGGTCCGGATTTCTGGCATCCTGATTTTTGGACTTTTACTGTGCTGTAAAAACGTAAAAATAGTGTATGTTCAAGAGAGTCAAGCAAGATGTTTCCTCCACTGAACAGAGATACAAACTGAGGCCTTGGTGGGTGAGTGAAGTGGCTGATGGGCACACCAAAAACTAGTTCCCTGTACTGCAATTATGTAAAATAAGTGTTAAAATGACTAAAAATTTTAATATAATACTTGAAAAATTATTGAATAGTGCAACCTTCTTGATATTTACTCCAATTTTAACGAATGTGAGCCCTAGAACCGATTTCTGTATTGGCGGACTAATCTTCCAGCTGGTGAGCAAGCCAAAGCATGTCGAAACATTTTCGTAAGAATTTTGTTCACCGAATTTTTGTTCGTTAACCGAAATGAAGATTCTTATGGAAGGTAATTCGTTAGCTGAAATTTCGTTAACTGAGGCGTTCGTTAACCGAGGGACCACTGTATTATTTTCGCATTTTCGACTTACAACCAATTCGACTTACGACCTGGATTTGGGTCCTTAACCCCATCGTAAGTCGGGGAGTGGCTATATATATATACAGTGACCCCTCGGTTTACGAACTCAATCCGTTCCAGAAGGTCGTTCGTTAACCGAAAAGTTCGTTAACCGAAACCATTGTTTCAATGGGTTTTTGGGTAATTGGTTCCAGCTCACCGAAAATTTCCTAAATTCAACAAAAATGGTAGAAAAGTTCACTTACTTTGAGGTGTGTATGTAGAAGGCTCCTGGATGATGATGGGAATTAGAATGGGGGTGGAGGAGAAGGAAGAAGAGAAGGCATTGGGGTGGAAGAGAAGTCACCCCATGGCATCATTTCACCCATAAAATTTTAGTTCTCTTGGTGTATTTCAAGATTATTTTCTTTAAATCAACACTGCACTGCATTATATATTGTCACTATGTAAAATATATTTCAAAATGACCAATAATTTGCTTGGAAACACAGAAAAAAAGCGTTTAGTTGAAGAGAGTCTCAAGCAAGATGTTACCTCCAGTGAAAACAGAGAGACTAACGCCTGTTTGCTGTGTTAAGAGGCTGGATGCCGCGCATTAAACTAGTCACTTTACCTTCAATTATGTTCAATAATTGTTAAAATGACTAAAAAATTGAATATTAAACTTTTAAATTATTGAATAGTATAAACTTCTTGATATTTACTAAAATAGTAAGGAATTTAAGCCCTAGATCCGATTAATGTATTGGCGGACTGATACTAAAGCTGGTTGCCTGGTCAGTGCAAGCGAAAACATGTTGAGGTCGGTTACGTAAGAACTTCGTTAATCGAATTTTTTTCGTTAACGGAATTGAAGATCCTTATGGAAGGCAGTTCGTTAATCGAAATTACGTTAACCGAGGTGTTCGTTAAACGAGGGGTCACTGTATATATATATAGGCTATATATTTATATATATATATATATATATATATATATATATATATATATATATATATATATATATATATATATATATATATATATATATATATATATATATATATATATATATATACATATATATATATACATATATATATATATATATATATATATATATATATATATATATATATATATCATTGGGTCTCACATTCGTGGTCCCGCATGGTTCACGGTGCCTTGGTGCCTTGCCAGAACCTCACATGCCATTACGGGGTCGTGAAACGCCATTACAGGAGAGTGTCCGCCGACGTCTTTTTAGATTTGCCCCACCGGTCGAATCACGACACGCTGGAGAGTGTCCGCATGACGCTATTTTTAGGATTTGCCCCACGCCACCCACCCGCCTGCCTGCCTCTCCTCCCTCCCTCCGCTTGGGGCAAGCGGCGCTGCAAGGCTGGCGCAGTGTGTGTCTTTGTCATGTTATCACCGACGCCGCCAAGCGCATCGACAGACTCCAGGATTGGCCATGCATCCCTACCCTCTGCTGCTAGCTGTAATTGCTTTCAAAGTATTATGACGCGGTTCACCCGGGAGGGAGGGAGGAGGAGAGACGACGCCAATTCTAGCCGCGCAGTTTTCATCTCCAGGCTAATTCGCAAACGCCAAGATCCATTGTCTCCGTGAAATGGCTTCCGCCGGACCACCACCCCAGAGAAAAAACCTTGGCCTGGACCCAGCGGCACTAAACCAAGGGAAGACACAACGCTCCTAAACTACGAGGTGAAGTATAGCATCATCCAAGAAGTTGGAGAAAGGAACAAAAGCAGTGATGACGGCGCCAGCCAGCATGGCGTGAACGAATCTACCATCCGGACTATGTGCTAGGAAGGATTCAGCTACATAAAGGATACATGAAGACTGCAAAGTCTACAGGTGTTTCTAAGATCAAGTATTTTCACAACCAGGTGCTTTCAAGACAGAAAATTACTTGTGGGTATTTCTAGTGGCGCCACGCGACGGAACATGGCGTCGACACGCCTGTGAAGGACTTCACGACGAACTGTACATGGCAGTGCAGCACGAAGATGTGGGAACTTGTTTCCAAACCTTAATGCTTCCTCTGCGGTTACAGAGGTTTAAGATCCGAACAAGATCACCAATATAAACATTGGTGGTGAAGAAGCGAAAAGGATCATGCTGCGCTCGAATTTCTCCGTTTTACGTGAGATTATGATGAAGGACAGTACAGTGACGACGGTGTGCTTTAAATATGGACGAATCTGTCTTTTCTGGAAAAACTACCTTCCAAGTCCTTCGCTAGAAGAATGCCGCAGTGATTGGGCCGAAAATGCAGAAGGAACGATCACCGTCCTGTTTACCACCACACGCCTCCTGCACTCTGTAAGCCTGCTATCGGTGATCCACAGCCCCAAGAAGTCGCGACGCTTACATAAGAGCATGGACATGACCAAGCTAAATGTCCACTGGCTGACAGCACGAAGGGCATGGATGTTCTCACATCGTCCCTCTCCTGGTTTGATGACTGTTTGTTCCCGATGTAAAGAAATTGTGAGCATAGAATGTCCTATTTAATATTTTTGTTGCTAAGGACAACGCACCAGGACACCGCTTCCCTACCTTCTTGTTAGATCGTGGCCACCCTCAACGTAAAAAGTGGTCTTCTTCCTCCCAACACTACGCTCTTTAATCCAGCCCATGGACCAGAGCGATTTGCAATGAAAGCTGCATTCTCAACAACAAAAAAATTCCAGCTCCTGAATCCACTACACCAACACCAGGAAAGAGTTATGAACCTGGAGGACACCACCACCGATAGCAAGAGTTTACTTAAGATGAGGAACAAGAAGTTAGAACAGCAAAAATACTCTTCAAACACCCAGAGTATTTATCAAGAAAGCTAGGACATCTTGGTGGAGCTGCGGGATCAGCTGTCTATTGTTACAATTGTCACGATGGAGACATGTGTTGTATGGAATACCAGAGGAGAGGAGGAGCTGACCCAGATCAGAGGTTCAGAATGTTGCAGTAGCAGTGGACCTGCCAGAGAAGCTGCAGACTGGAGCGCAGTTCCAGGCTTCTCCCGAGACCAACAACGCATTTTACATCCTGAGGTGATCAGAAATCCTGAAGTGACTGTCATTTAGATGTTGAAGCAAGAACACGCTAGTGAAGAGGGAGGAAGAAGGTGTGGCAGTTCCAAGAACACAATTTAAGTCATAGTGATATTAAGTGGTGCCATGAGTGTGCAGAAGATGAAGTCCTTCCTTTCATGGTATAATGACGAAGGACCTCATGAAGTCTTCTATAACTGCTGGTGTGGTGCTGCCAAGTGGAGCCGCATATCAAGGTGTATCAATGGCAACATCAACGCCAGCCGCCAGCAAAGTATACAGTTAACAGATTTCTTCACCAAGAACCCACCACAGCCAGCCCAAGCCAGTGATAGTGACAGTGAAGTTGGATTCTTGAGGATTTAAGTCAGGAAGCCCCGATAACCGTAAAGTGACAGTGATGATGATTCATCTAGTAATGGTGATTCACACCTAGTAATGGTGATCTCACCTGAGGGCCAGTAATCTGCCCTCTGCCTCGAACCAGCCTCCATCCCTGCAGATGTCGCACCATCTCTACTGTACCGTAAGTGTTCTACATAATTTTAGTTTCTTTAACCTTACCTTTATTTTTCCTATGTTAACCTTTATCTTTCCAACCTAACCTCTTCTATATTACTTGTTTTTTCATGCCATCACAAAGTTAAGATAAAATTTTACTGCAAATATAGTTATGTGGTCGTCAAAAGTGGAGTTTGGGGGATCGCCTGGACTCCATTTCAATTAATCCCATATGTTATGTTGTTCACTTTTCTCGCGTTTCTCACTTTCCAAGGTACTCTCCTCGGGTTACATTAACCATCGTCAAAAAAGTGGGTTTGGGGATCGGCCTGACTCCATTTCAATTAATCCCATATGTTATGTTGTTCACTTTCGTACTTCCTCACTTTCCGGTACCCTCCAGTTTACTAACATCAATATGAGATAACTATATACTAATTATTAAATTATTATAATAATAATAATGATGGAGGTTGCAGCCGGTGGCTGAAAATATACAGACTTACATTTGATTTAGACATAATGATATAATATGCAGTGAATACATTTACAGGGCTGTACAGTACATAAATCAGGATTTGTTTATTATTTTAACAATAGATGGGATGGTGCTGTTCTTATATCTATCGGTGCGGGCTCTTATGGGCTGTATTTTGTTGTAGTGGCGGACTGCGCGAGTGTGTGTGTGCGTACGCATGCACATACTACATACAGTATAGTCTGCATTTACGCGGTCCATTGAACCCGTGGAGGTCCACGTAAAACGAGAAATGCGTAAACGAAATAACAGAACATATGGGATTAATTGAAATAGAGACTGGGCAGACCCCCAAACTCCACTTTTTCCGACACAATACGTACGTTGTAGTAAAAATAGTATCTTAATTTTATGATGGTATGCACACACATAATATAGAAGAGAAATATCAATAAGAGAATAATATACTGTACCAAGTAAAACAAAAATCAAGGTTTAACACTTACGTTAGTAGAAGAGATGGGTCGCCATATGGGAATGGCGGCTGGTTCCGAGGCAGAGGGCAGATTAGTTGCCCTCCGGTGAATCACTATCACTATTCACAAAGGTTTGCAGGGCCTCCCTGACAAAATCTTCAAAGTCCATATCATCACTGTCACTATCACTGACTTGGGCTGGCTGCGGTTGTGGTGGGTTGCAGGCGAGACTAGCATTGACGTTGTGGTGATACATCTGGACATACGGCTCCATAATTTTCGACTGAAGGTTATTAGACACTTCATACCGATGCTTAACTGTGTCTTTGTCAAGGATGAGCTTGATTTTCTCCCCCAACTCGATGACTTCCTTCACATTTTCATGGCTTGGTCCAGGTTCAAGGTTTTACTGGGGTGGTGGGGGTCCAGCGGAAGCCATTGTGAGGGGAATAGCGGGCACAAGTGAGAACTGTATATGCGGAGAACTGAGAACAATGAGAGTGGCCCAGCTAGGTCAGCGACTCCTTCCCTCTGGTGACAGGGCATATCATGTTACATTAAACCAATCGCAGCTAGCTGTGGAGGGAGGTAAGGATGCATGGCCCAATCACAGTCCGATAAGTCATATGACATCAGCGATAACGTAAGAGCGACCTAATGCGCACCCCTCACCGCACCGCTTCCCGCGTATGGTCAAGAATGGACCACGTGAGTACAAAATGGCGCGGCGCGTCTGGATCTCTCGAGCCGCTCGCCGCGTAAATGATGAAATTTACCGCGTAATCAAAACATTTCATTCTGGCAAGGCACTGCGTAAATGACCAAACGCGTAAACAAAATCTGCGTAAATCGAGACTATACAGTGGTCCCTCAGTTAACAAGCACCTCGGTTAACGAATTACCTTCCATAAGATTCCTAACTTCGGTTAACGAGCAATCCCTCGATTAACGAGTTTCTTATGAGACGACCTCAACATGTTTTCACTTGCATTTGGCGGTCCACCAGCTGTAGTATTAAATCGCCAATACGGTAATCGGTTCTAGGGCTTATATTCCTTACCATTTTAGTAAATATCAAGAAGTTTATGCTATTCAATAATTTTAAAAGTTTAATATTAAATTTTTTAGTCATTTTAACAATTGTTGAACATAATTGAAGGTAAGTAAACCAGTTTTATGCACCCCATCCAACCTGTCAACACACCAAACAGGTGTCAATCTCTCTGTCTTTTCAGTGGAGGTAACATCTTGCTTGAGACTCTTCAACTAAATGCTTTTTTTCTGTGTTTGCAAGCAAATTATTGGTCATTTTGAAATTTATTTTACATATTGACAATATATAATGCAGTGCAGTGTTGATTTAAAGAAAATAATCTTGAATTCCACCAAGAGAACTAAAATTTTGTAGGTGAAATGGCGCCATGGGGTGACTTCTTTCTCTTTCACCCCAATGCCTTCTCTTCTCCCTTCTCCTCCACCCCCTATTCTAATTCCCATCATCATCATCATCATCATCCAGGAGCCTTCTACATACACACCTCAAAGTAAGTGTACTTTTCTTCCTTTTTTGTTGAATTTGGGCAATTTTCGGTAAGCTGGAACCAATTACCCAAAAACCCATTGAAACAATGGTTTTGGTTAACGAGTTTTTCGGTTAAAGAGCAACCTTCTAGAACGGATTGTGCTCGTTAACCAAGGGACCACTGTACTGTATATATATACTTAGACTTGAATTATACATAGAGAAAACAATTATTTATGTTAAATTGTATGAATTTGTATTGCAAAAACTCACTCCATATAAACATCAACATCTCTTGAAACATTTATCATTTGGTAACCATGGTACCATACCGTATTTTTGCCATAAGGTATTAAATTCCGTATTTGTGAATTCATAATTCGCGACAATTTCAAAGAATGTAACTCACGAATACAGGTAGATAAGTGTATTAGGCATATATGGAATGTATTTACAAGGCAATGAAGAGAAAATTGATCAGGCTGCTCAAAGTTTTGACGTTAAATTCATATGCAATGTGTTTACAAGGTTGGTGATGCACGAATGATGGTGATCAGTTCCTCCCCAAGTGAGGATCATTCATACACATCAGTGGAAGGAGATGACGACTACTCTGCATCTTCCACACCTTTACAAGCCACGCCTAATTCCACTGAACCTCATTCTCACCCCTCACCACCTAAGAAGGTTAACCATTCTCCAACCTCAAGTGTAGATGAAGCCTTCTCAGATGACTCATATGATAGTGATGTGACCAGGTTGGTATGGGCTTATCTGTTTGTGATTATCTAACTCATATATAGTTATCACATTATTATTCAGTTATACATTTCACAGGATTTCTTGTTATTTTTTGTATAAGATCACAATATTCAAAGATTTCTCCAAACATTTGCTTACCAGATGAGATCTTCCCATGCTCTAACAGATCCTGTTCTCTTTCATCTTTCATTTCAGAGAGACAACTAAACTATCTCTATGACACCATTTTATGTCACATCGTAAAATATATTTTAGAACAATAGAAATTTCAGTTTAGGTATACTGCACATTTACGTAAAATCAATTCAACCTCGTTACAGTGTCACATTCATTACAGTGTACCTTGCTCTTGTGATACCCCTAAAAGAAAGTTTGTATCAAGGGAGAGCTGTTAGATGTAACGAGGAACAAAATATGATTGACAAGAAAATGTACATGACATATACTGTACCGTCTAATGTAATGATTAAAAACATCATCTCTTTGTGTCATGGTTTTATGTAAAGTCTAGGTGTTATGTTATATTGTGTTTCTTAAATTTCTTACCGTAGAGTTTGATACCTTCGCACTGTTTACTTACAGGAGATTATGGTGTACCTACGTAGAAATTCACTCCACCAACTGACATTCCATGATTTAAACTTGATAAATGATGATTTAATGAGTTACATTAATTTCCAACATCCATCTAAGTTATTGGTTATACTTTGTCATAACCAATCAGTCATTACCTTTAGTAATAATAAGATAGGATCACAGATACGGGCAGATAGTTGCACTTACATTTATTTGGCTAGCTTCCATTCAATGATTTACAATTTGCATGGATATATGAGTCTCTCATATTCATGCTGTAATAAAATTAATCTTCTAAAAGAGGGAATTTTCAACTTGGGAACACATGTGATTACTCTACTATGGGTATGACTTAACAGAGCCTTAATTCTTCAAGTGATACATTTACTGCCAGCCTGGATTGCTCTTGTTGCAACCAGGCTTCCACACACAAACTTCGTTCCACGGGGAATAACAACAAAAAGGTACTCTTGGGTTACCATACATAGTCTCGCGTCATTGACAGTCACTGTAGACGGTTCTTACGGCAAGGAGAACTAGTAAGCATGACATGATTAACCACTTAGGTTCAGTAGGCCAGCCTGGATTTCTTTTGTCTTGATTTTTCCACGGGGAATACAAACCTAGGTTAACATACTTAATTTCGTGTCGATCACGGTCACTGTAGATGGGTGTCGTGCAGGAGAACTCTGTAAGCATGACTTGATTTACCATTTACTGTAGGTTTGATAGGCCAGCCTGGATTGTTTTATCATATGATTCCTCATAAATCCCATTAACAACTTGTTTGTTTGAAATCTGAGATATACTAAAAAATGACAATCTACCTATTTATCCTACAGTGAAGCATCCCAAGCTGATATGCGTCAGTTAGTTGAGGGTGCGGATGCACTACTGAATCTAGCAGCTGTAGCGACTTCCCTTGCATCACAACGCAATTTCACTGGATGTTCTTTACCCCCTACAAGCCCTCAACATCACCAGCACCGCTCCTCTCCTAACCAACGCTCTCATCGACCACACAATTCTTCAAACTCCTCTCGTCTTGGTAAAGTTCACATTTTGAAGCCATCACCTGCCAAACTGTCACCTTCTAAGAGTAACCATAACAGCAGTAAGAACAAGGCAGACCTTCTCCACAACAATAACACAATCATTAATAACAATAATAAAGTGTTGAAAGTAAGAAGGTTTTGTGGAGCTCAAGGTCGTGGTGCTCATAGGCATCAACTTCCAACTTCTCGCTAGGAGATGATGGACTTCTGTACCTAAATGACAAAAATAATCATGGTTTTCAATGCAGGCAAACGTTTGCTATAGATTAGGCATACTGACTCTTATGAGTTAGAAGGTATGTAATAAAATGTGCACAGAATTAGACCTGCAAGGTCTCAAACTAGAAAGTGACTAACTAGTATGCAAGGTACTGCAATGCATCTTATGCAGTTTAGTGGTTGAAGTTGATATATGTTTTTGTACATTTTTTCATAAAACTCTTTGTAAAGACATTACAGTTACTTAAGGTGCATAAGAAACACTTGCAGGCAGAGTTGTTAGTATTGTAGATACTGTATTTTCCTATTGTTGTTTGGCTTTCCTTCTTGTTTTGTTGGCATTCTTTATTAAAGCATTAATCTTGAAAATGTGTCTGCTCCTTAGTGTTCAGTTTGATCATTTATGGAGCAGTTATGTTATAATATAATCACTGTGATTAGGTACAGAAGTTTTCTTAGTGTGCCATCATTATGTGGTACACACTACAAACACATTTTGTAGTATACTTAAATTTATTTGATTAAATTGTGGACTAAAGATAGCAATAATTTATGTTTACAATGTTTATAAACACACAAGAATCACTTTGCACTAGTCTTCTCTGGTTTCCTTCGACAGTAATGTGAATGGAAATTTACTTTGCATATGCAATAATTATGGCTTGTATATGCACTACATGCATTATTGAAGAGCAATACTGTTTATACACTAGCTGATGTGTTATTTTATAAAGTGTTTAAATATACTTGGTATAAGCCTGTAATATATACCCAGAAATGCTTTATTGTACATATACTGTATAAGCTGTAAAATGAGATTAAGAATATATTTGTTCTTGTTTGATCTGTAAATGTTCTCCTAGTTTCTGAGGTTATAAATATGACTACTTGGCCTGATTAATCATACAGATAATAAGATCAAATTGGGGGGGGGGGGATT